TACTTCAGAACCATTCCTTTGAAATGACCAGGACAGGATCAATCAGGGGAAATAAGGCGTGGTGAGAAGCAGCCAGGAATTCAGAAACACTGCGTTTAGAAACCACAGAGGCACTATCTGCTTTAACCCTCACACTCCTTCATCGGCTGCAATATTAGTACAAGGGGAAAAAAGAGCAAGAACAGCTTCATCTGACTATGCCCGCTGGTCCAAAGTGATTAATGCACTCTAAAAACCCAGAGAGGGCATAATAAAAAAGGTGTGTATCCCAGAAAAGCAAACACGCAGGAAAATGACTCCCCCTGCCTCCCCGCCCCTACACAAAGTCCTTCTTTCAAGGATAAACATCTGTTTGGTGGCAGGAATGCACAAATGTAATGGTCAACACTATTTTTACAATTAAAAAAAACATTAAAAAAAAGTTTAAAGAGCAGGTCAGTCTTAGAGACCCAAAGCCCAACTAAGGAAAAGGTAATGCCAAGAGTAATTTAAGAGCAAAGATAAGCACTTATCTTAGAATAGCTTTAAGTCTGAACCTCCTCTATCCTATAGATAGGCTTGATGTCAAAGAGCTCAGTGTCTCTCCCTTTGTGAGCGCCGGCCCTCCATCTGTTGGTGTGCCTCTCTGCCTTTGTGCTTGCCTGCTTGCTTACTGAATAAGGTTCTGCCAAGTTTTCTTACCATTATGGCTTGTGCAGACATTCTTATTCTGCAATCAAAGTCCATAACACTAAATAAAGAGGCCTAAGTAGAGGGAAACTTTACAAAGCCCTGCTCGAGACATTGCCAGCGAGGTTTGTGTTGTGAATTACTCCCATGCAATATTTCACAGTGTTGGAGGTCTCCTGTTTTCGAGCCACTCTTTGGTCTAGTGTGTCGACAGGAAAGAGGACAGGCTAGACGCCATCTGGCTGTGCTGCTGTGTGAAGGGAGAGGGGAGGTGTCCACGGGGACAGGTTGGAGAGCCAGCAAGGATGAGGGATAGGGGCAGCAGGAGTTGGTGTTGGTTGGCACTGTGTGTGAAGTCAAGACACCTTGAAGATGGAGCTGGTCTGTCAACAGTGGAATGGGCTGGCTTCTGACTGCCTCTGCTGGGGGCGTCACCATGACCTGAGTCTCCCGGGGGAATGGTCTCCACTCCTGTGTGCTCTCCACACCCCACCCTTGCTTTCAGCTGGCCTCAAACCCAAGGGGATGGTGGTCCTCCTCCTTCACCGTTTCCTCCTCGGCTCCCTCTCCCTCACCTGCTCTCCTCTTCCTTCTGGAGTGCAGTGGCAGCTGGGATATAAATGTGCTCTGCTACTTCAGGGCAGGGCTGAGTTGGGGTGCCAAGGATCCTGAACTGAGTCAATCCGCAATCAGATGTCCTTCATCTACCCCTTCATCTACCGAGTGTCTCAGCATCAACTAAAACAAACCAACCCCCAAAGCCCATTGAATACAGGAAGAGTGTGTTGAGAACACTAAGAGAATACATCAACATCTCTGATCAAAGCCACGCCACGCCACCACATCACCCCTTTCGTCCGGACAAAATGGCTGCAGACCGCTGATGGAGCAGATACAGTAAGGTAAGCGCAACCGAGAGAACACAGAGGAGTCACACACCAGCTCAGCACAGCAGCCTTCCACCATAACCACCCTATCAACTGGCTTCATCAGAACGCTGGGCCCAGAGGCCAGGTCCCTCAGAGATTCCATTTCCTCTCACTCAAAACGGCAGCCTTGATTTCACCCCAGCTACTTTCCTCCATCTGCAGGTGGCACCCAGAAAGGCTCATGCCAAACACAGCAAGCAAACACCCCAAGGAGTTGTAATATTTGTACAACAAGAATGATTATTACTTATCAACTATGGAAAATTCCTCCTGCACTGCCTTCACACTCATGACTGTATAAAAGGTCAAGTCATAGGCAAACGCACTAGCACTGGGCAGAGAAGGTCTTACGCTCGCCTGACACAGAAGGAAACACAGACGTTTGTGAGTTGCTACGATGTGTGAAGTAAGGACTGGAGACTGGGAGCTGCAGTCTGATCATTTAAGCCTGTCCTTTTACTGGCTCTGATCAACATGAAGTTTCCGCAGAGCCTCCAGGTCCCATTCAAAGGACAAGGGAAGTGTCCCATTTTCAGTTAGGAGAATTGAATTTCCAGCTAACATCGTACACAGGGTTATACATTCAGTGAGGAACGACTCCAGCCCTTCCTGTCTTGTAGCTTCGCTTCTGAAAAATATGCGAAGGAATAACCACTAATTTTACACTCATTTGGTACCAAAAGATAGGCACTGATGGTTTAATAAAGTGACAAACAGTAATGCATGGGCAATGTGACAAGAATGCCACAGGACCCAAGACCTTCGTTATCACCTGCCTTGACTCCAGTCAAACAGCTCCGTATTTAAATGTCTGAACAGATTCATATCCTGGAAAAGAGTTAACAGCAGCCCTTTTTGAAATGATCAGCACGTTGCAAATGACAGCTTTGCTTTGGAAATAGAGGACGTTGACTTCTGAAGTTGGGAAAATGTGATTTCTACCAAAAATGATTTTGCTGTCCAATATACAAGTGCACTATGAATAAGCTTTATCTCTGGAGTCAATTGTTTGTCCTTTGCATGAAGTATATGAAGGAGCTTAAGAGAAGCAGGTAGATAATGCAGTGCTCAGCAAGTGAATCTATCTATTAATCAATCTATTTATCTATCCTCTTTCTCTTCTACTCTCAGCCCTTTCCTCCATTGCGGGCTCTGTCTGACTTTCTCATCTGGTAATTTCAATTTCCTTGTGATGAGTTTAAAAAAGTGAGGAGAAATGGGTTTGTCCATTAATTTTTTCTAATGTTCCTTTGCAAAGTCCCAGGATATGTTTTGATGTAGGAGTTGCTGCTTTGGGAATACCAGCTCAGACACAGATCTAGATGGAGTACTGGCTGCTGGTGGGTACTAATTTGCCCCCAGTCCTCACCCACATTAAACAGCATTTGGTACAGAGTGTTGGGTGTCTCCTGATTGCGTTGTTCTCCCTGCCAGTCATTTCTTAGTGGAAGAAATACTATTCTTTTGCCTTCTCAATATGTGTGTTTGTGTGTGTGTGTGTGTGTGTAGATAGGATCTGGATATATATGAATCTATCTATCTACATTCATCCATAGATATATGTATGTTTTTATTTGTGAGGGTTTTTCAAAGGAAAAATAGGCAACCTGAAAGTCTTGACATTATGTTATTTATGAACCACTACTCTACAATTATTTTAAAATTCCAGCCATGATTCAGTTGAAACGACTCCAGTTACCTACAAGCCTGACAAATCATGCTCTCTGCGAATCCCACGTCTGTATTACGGGTTCCAGCGTGGTGAGCTGACATCACTCGCCGTTAGTAATTCCTCCTTCCTCCTTCCTTTTTTATCCCATCTCATGGCAGCCATGACAACTAGAGTGAGTAAGCTTCCTCCTTCAGGGTGTGATTTAAAGTTCAGCTGCCATTATTAGTTTAAAGATGAAAGGAATGGGGGGGAAGAGAACAAAGAAATCCACTGGGTGGCACAGACCATTATGGGATGACTCATCCGTGCCAACCTCCCAGGCTCTTTGTCATCGACTGAGGAGTTAGGTGTGACAACCCGGTGTGCTCTGCCCATCGCACACAGGCTGCGCCACTTCCAGACACAGTCTGCAACTCTGAACCATCTGCTCACACCATTTCTGAAGCAAAGCCCTCATTTTCAGTCTCATTAATTATCATTCATTTTTACTGGCGGATGTCCTACTCATCGTTTGAAAAGGGATTCATAGCTGCTTTCCAGTATCCGGTGATAGTTCACCTAAGATCTTAGTTACTGTGTTCTCTGTTACCCAGGGGTCTTGGGGTTCTCCTGTCTCAAAACTTCCAACTAGCATCGATGTCACAGAGGTCATAATGTGTTCACCGAATATCCCTTCCCCTCCCAGATCTCTTCTCCCTCAAAGAAGTCAAGGATTCTCTATTCTGGTACTGTTGAAAGGTATTTAACAAAATCCAGAACCCTCTTCTTCTGTCTCTCATGGTTGTGTTCTATGCTTTTTATTTCCTGTCTGTGTTCCTGGGCTCTGTTTCATGCAGAACTGACCATAAGGAAATGCTCCCAAGCTTGAAGCTTTCAAGTACCAAATTGTCCCCAAAGATAGTGACAGTAGCACATGTGGCAATTGGGGTGCAGGACAAAGAGAAGCAGGAGGAAAGGGTTTCCACAGGACTCAGATGAGCCCAACAAGTGCAGTTCTCGGGGCACTTATTAGACCAGCTCTGAGTGAGGACACCCAGCTATTGTCCCTCACTCTCTGACCACTCTGTCTTCTGCTATCATTACAGCTGCATATGAAGGGATGAGCCTCCATGGAGGCTCATGTGTTGAAGGTTTTGGTCCCTGACCTGTGGCACTATGGGATGGGAGTGGAATCTTTAAAAGATGAAGCCTTGGGGGAAGAAGTTAGCCCAGTGGGAGCATGTCCCTAAAAGAGATACCTGGGCCACAGAGTCCCTTTCTCTCTCTGTTCTCTGGACCACACCCCCTCGGTGTGACATTCTGACTAGTCTAGGTCCAGAATCATGCCCCAACAGACTGTGAATTGCAGCTGTATACCAACAGATTTTTTTCCCCTTCCTGTGTGGTGTTTTTCTCAGTTGTTTGGCCACAAAGTTGACTCACAAAGCCGGGTTCGATCACTTTCAAAAGTTTTAGTGACCAAGAAGGAGCTTGGAGACCCAGGCAAACTGACCTGAGCCTCACCTACCAATGGCCTTGAAACAAAGAATCTACTGGATTACCTCAAATTCTAGCTGCCTGATGGGAAACCCCATGGATCAGAAAGCCTGATTGCCGTGTCTCCTGGGAGCACTTGGCCAAAGATACCAAAGAACTTTGTTTTTGTCAGGAAGATGGCGCTTGTTCCACCACGACTCAGTTCATGCTTTCGAAACCCTAAGCTGGCATTTCCCAGCGTGCACGTCACCAACCTGCCAGCCTTGTAATTTACAGTGATGGAGAACGAGCCGACATCTCTCCTCAGTACACAGATCCTTCTTCTCGCCCAGGATCACAGCAGCCAGTGGCTCGAATCTGTCAAAAGCATCAGGAACAAGGGAAAATGAATGTACTTGCCAAGCCGGTGATTATGGTCCATGGGACTGTCTCGGTCACATCATTTCTCAAAATTCTCCTACTTGCTTCCCAGTAGTCACCATTGATGGTATCCTTACCAGCCTGATGACAAACGGCCCTAATCTTTTCAGGACATTATTTTTTCAGGGGCTCAGCTATACCTTTCAACTTATATGTAACACAGTCATGAAGTGGCATAACCATTTTTTAAATTTTCAAGAGAATAAAAATCTATTCATTGTCATTGAAACATCTGATTTGCTCTTTTAAAATATGACTTTGAAGACATTCAAAGTTAGCAGTTAGGGTCCACTATAAAAAGAACATGAAAACACCCACAAGTCTTATCTAAATGAGAAGAACAATAGTTTCTTCCCCATACATTAAATATACAGCATTTCAAACGTTATCTGAGGGCATTTTTACTCTAGAATGAATCTCTGAGTACCTGATTCCCACTCCCTAACTGAAATTCACACCATTATATTAGATCCTTATAGCTATTTTAAAAGTGGCTTTCAAGATTACATCACTCATTAAAACATTTTTGTAAAATTCCCTTTGTATTCACAGCATTTCACCTGACATACACCCAAGATTGTACTGGAGGAGAGAAACAGGAGGAGGAGAGGAAGAGGAGGAGGAGGGAAGAAGAGGAGGAGGAACAGAAAAAGGAGAGAAGGAGGAGGAAGACAGAAGAAACAAGCAAAGCTTAGGCAGCCGAATCTTACTGTATCCTGTGTGTTTATGATTCTTGTGTTGGGGGCTCTATGAGCTCATAGAAACCCCGATGCTCAAACTTATTTGACATGCTTTCCATTAGGGTTTACTCAGTATTTTCATTGCTTCACCTAAAGTCTGTGGGAGAAAACTTCTCATGTCAGTGCTCAATGAAAGTCCTGGACAGCTATGTCAGGCTCATTATTCCCTTTTACTTGTATGGGCTCTGCGATGGACAGGCCAGCCTGTGGCCTAGGGCGGCAGTAACCAGTTGTCTGGTATATTACTGCTCTGGACTGGATGCTATTGTTTTTCTAAAGTTCACAACGCCTTATAAAAACAGGAACGTTATACTAAAAAGTTTCGAGGTTCCCGTGCGACATCAGAAAGGGAGTCCTTTTGGGGAGTTGTTTCGTCACGAGTGTAGAGCCCTTGGAAGGAGTGGCAGCCATCAGAGTTCTCCCCTCCCAGGTATGGGCATAGCTGAAGACTCTACAACCCAAAATTCAGGCTAACAAAGGATGCCAAATCCACTGATGCCTCTATCTGAAAGACTTACAGCCTCCAGCACTGTAAGAAACACATCTCAGATCATGTGTCACGGCGGTTTGAGATGATTAAGAACTTTCAAGTGGAAGACATTTCCTCTTTCCATCTTATCCCAAGTATTGCCATTGAAAACGGAGGACGTGAACTTGCTAGATTAAGAATCTCTTTAACATTTCTAGCCATGAACCGGCCAAACTGAATCCGTCACATGGGTGACAACTCTTCCTTCTCATGTTTGTGTTTTGGCTGGTGTAGCGAACCTCAGGTTCGGGGGGATCTCAAGGCAAACAACCTAGGAAGGACAGAGGCTGAGCCACTGTGGATGGGTAAGCATCCTTGATTTACTGACCTTTAGGTGACTCGCTTTCTCCCCCACCCCCATCATGAAATATACCCTCATTCATGCCCTCGGGAGAATCAGGGCGCTCTGCCACTTAACCAGAGTTGCACAATGAAATGAAATCACTGCAATTATCTTTTTATTCTCCGTGATAATTGTCTCATGTGGGAACTTTGTTCATTATAACCAAGAATTTAATTGATATCATTCAAGTATCTGAAGATAGTATTAGCAAGTCAGAATGAAAAAAGAAAAGAAAAGAAAAGAAAAACCATCTCGTGCTTGGAGCTTTTCTCCCATTTTGTATTGTTCTTTTAAGGCTGAAATGGTATCATGCTGACATTTCAACTGAAAAGAGAAACACAGCATACTGTTCTGCTGTGATTTAAAATGCGGTGTCTTTTGGAATGCGAAGGTCATCTAGAATGGCAGGACACAGCCATGTCCCATCCCGGTGCTAAGACCTGCCTCCCTTCCAGGGCCTTGTGAGTGCTACCCATGCCTGAGCCAAGGTTGAGAAAGACGGGCCTGGGCTCTCATCTCTCCCGCCCCCGCCCCCCCGCCGTCCTAGGCCAAGTCATCTCCACATACTCCTCTACACAGACTTCACTCACCTACCTGGGATGGACCAGCTGGCCTCAAAGCACAGCACAGCTGCTTCTCTACTTGTCTGCTCCTCTCCTTTCACCATGCTGGGGATGAGGAGCAACTGAGACCTCATTCTGGGTCTAGAATGGGTTCCCAAATGATAGCACCTTTGTTCAGGCTCAATCAATCAACTCACCCTTACAGACTGAGCTCACTTAGATGTGAGGGACCCTTTGAAGAGAAGAGAATATGCCTGGAAGGCAAGCAAAGGCCTCGCATTCTGCTGTGAAGAGACTCAGAAAGAAGGGAGGAAGGAAGAAGGAATCAGATATGGTGATGATAAAAGATACAGAGAAAGCTGGGCAGTGGTGGCTCATGCCTGTAATCCCAGCTACTCAGGAGGCTGAAATCTGAGGGATACCGTTTGAAGTCAGCCTGGGAAGGAAAGTCTGTGATACTTTTATCTGCAATTAGCCACTAGAGGGCCAGAAGTGGAGCTGTGGCTCATGGGGTAGAGCTGCAGCTTCGAGCAAAAGTGCTCAGGAACAGTGCCCAGGCCCTGAATTCAAATTCCAGGATTGGCACACACACACACACACACACACACACACACACACACACGCCCCACAGTGCAGAGAAAGAATAGGGAGGGGAGTGTTTACTGTGAGCAGCTCTGTGAACAGGCCAGGCTCTGGGAGCTGTGGGCCCAACAGTCCTGAGCTGCTTGTGACTTCAGAAATGGAAGTGAGAAGCAAGGTACAGTAGATAAGTTCAGAAAGGAAGGTACAAGGAGTAACATGGGCTGGGGTGGGGGAAGGGGCTGCAGATCACTGGGGTGATAGGCGCTGACTCTGCTGAATCCTGAGACCAGGTGTGAGTGGAGTGGCCGTGTTGCCTGGCTTTAGAGCATCCCTGAGCTAGGGAAGGTGAGCATGTGGGCTGGCCCCGTGTGTGGCAGAGCCAGGATGCCAGCCAGAGGGACAGGTAGTTGAGATGGCAGCCAGACAGGGTGAGAATCAGCGAGACTCCACCCGTATGTCAGTCTTCACCCATAGATTGGGGCTTCATGAAGGAAGAGGAGGAGGTCAAGAGACTGCCATGTGGCTTTGCTTCCCGGTGTGAGCACACAGGAAGGCCTGGTATTTCCACCTTGACGCTGAAGGGAAATAATGCAACTGAGAACCAAAAGGAGCATCCAGCTGGGGTCCGGGAGGACATGTGGAGGAAGGGCAGCCACAGCCACACCAGATCCCTCTTCTCCCGGGTTGCCTGCTCCCGAACTGTTTCTGGTTTCTGCCCTGACATGATTTCTGCGCCCTCCATGGAGCATCAACGGGGCACTCCTGGCCATTCGGCAAAGTGAATCTATTCTGTTCAGGTGCAGTGCTCCAGGGGTTCAAACTTGGAGACACATGGAGGGCTTTCAGGTGGCACTGCTGCTTCAGCCCACCCTCGATTTCTTTCCTCCCCTCTTCCACACCCTGAAATATTGACATGAAAGTGTGGGCCTCCCTGACGTTCCTGGAAATATCTGGAACACCGGTGATGTGCAGGGCGGGCTTTGCGTGTGTGGAGGACTCGTGTGTGAAACTCCCCTCAGGAAACTCAACACAGGGGCTGTCTTGACCACATCACAGATTGTGTTTGTTTTGAGTCTGTGCTTCAAGAAAAATGAAGCAGGTAGGCATTGGTAGCTCACATCTGTAATCCCAGCTGCCCAGGAGACTAAGACCTGAGGATTGTGGTTTGAAGCCAGTCCCGGAAGGAATACCCAGGGGAGTCTTATCTCCACCTGACCACCAGAAAGCTGGAAGTAGAGTTGTGGCTCAATCGGTAGAGCACTAGTCTTGAGCAAAAAAAAAGCTCAGGGACAGTGTCCAGGCCCTGAGTTCAAGCCCTAGTATGCACCCTCCCCCCCCCACCACACATGAAAGGATGAAACCAACCAATAATTGAGAGCGGTCTGTCTTCAGAATTCAGTGTTCCTTCTTCTCATTTAAGGAAGTACTGGACATCCATTTCATGGCCCACAGATTATAAACAAAGTTTACATGGCGACCCTCAAGTTCAAGGTAACACGATCACTGTCACTTGACAACTTCAAACCAGGAAGTAATAAAAAACATTTTCCTGCAAGCCATGTAAACCAAATTTTTTTAACCCAGAACAGTTTCTCAAAATGTATTTCTGTTTGCAGAATATTGAGTTCATGTCTACTCTCATAGAGAATCCTGGGAAAGTGGTGCTTTCTCAATCCTGAAACCTCTTAAAAATGGAATTCTCTCAAGAAGTAATTAGTGAACATCTGTAATGAGCAAGATGTTCTGCCACAAAAATGTGCAAGGCGTGTGAGGTGACTTGTAGTGACTGTGCCTCTTCCCAAATTCAAAACACAGCTTGGACCAAAATTACGTCTCAGAAAAAGTGTGGATTTTCTTACTGCAGGACCATAGAGAACGTCCCTTATTCTGGTCATTTTGTAACTGCTTCATTGTAAACGATGGCATCGTGTTTAGAGAATACAAATTCCCTTCTCCCTGGGTGAGGGAATCAGTGGACACGGTGCCAGGAATTGCCTGTTGAACAAATGGCAGATAGAGATGATGGCTAGGGGAAAGAGGGAAAGAGAATGAATTGGTGAAAGACATTTCTTGAGGGTGGAAAGACAAGGAAAATCTTTACCCTTCTAAAAGGAAAGTCTTGAAAGTTTACCTTCTACCAATGCTTGCTGTTTTGCTATTTTCACTTAGGAGACACTTTT